TCTCTTGGGCAAAATGCAGGCAGGATGTAGAATACTGGTGCAGGACATGTGTTGCTTGCATTACAAAGAAGGGTCTCCCTAAGATAGGGAGAGCCCCAATGCAGCCGTATCTCATGGGCCCCAATGGAACACATTGCTGTTGATGTGCTGGGCCTGGCCTGGGGCAGAGGCTGGCAATCACTATGTGTTGGTTGTCACAGACTACTTTACAAAGTGCCCTGAAGTTTATCCAATAAGGAACCCAAGGGGCTGTAACAGTAGCAGAAGTTCTAGTAAAAGAATCCTTCACCAGATTTGGGGTTCCCAGTACAGCTGGGTGAATAATTGAGTTTTGGTTCTTGGCAGGTCTGGAAAATCTAAACATTTTCTTTCTGGGCATTTTTAAAGGGCTAGATTCACAATCATCAGCAGCAGCCACTATTGCTGCCTCCATTATATCTTTTAAACAGTTGGTTAGAGCAGCGGCTCTCAACCTTCCCAGGCTGCTGGGCCTCTTTCAGGAGTCGGATCTGTCTTGCGTACCCCAAGTTTCACCTCACTTAAAAACTACCTGCGTACAAAATCAGACATAAAAATACAAAAGTGTCACAGCACAGTATTACTGAAAGATTGCTACTTTCTCATTGCTACCATATAACTATAAAATACATCAATTGGGATATAAATCTTGTTCTTACATTTCAGTGTATAGCATAGAGCAGTACAAACAAGTCGTTCTCTGTATGAAATTTTAGGTTGTACTGACTTCACTAATGCTTTTTATGTCGCCTGTGGTACAAGTAGGTAAATATCTAGGTGAGTTGATGTTACCTCGGCAGAGCTCTGCATATCGCCACAGGTACATGTTCCCTTGGTTGAGAACCACTGGACTAGGGCACTTACCTAGGCTGTGGAAGACCTGGGTTCAAGTGCCCCCTCAGCCTGAGGTGGAGCAGGGATCTGAATTTGGGTCTCCCATATTGGAGCAGTGTGCCCTAGCCAGGTTCTGATGTGGCTCTTTCCTGATGAAGTTGTTCCACTGTGTATAACTAGTCACTGGAGTAAGGACATGATCCTGCGTCTGCCAGCTCCCAGGTGAGTGCCCGAACCAGCAGGCTAGAGTCATTCTCACTCTCCTTCCCTGGCCCAATGATGATTACATTACTCATCTTCAACGGGGGAGACAGAGGGACTCACCCCAGACTACGCTATAGAAAACACTAGAGGATAGCTTCTGACAAAATCAAAAAAGCCTGGGATGTAAGGTCATATGGGGAAACATTTAAAAGAGGGGACCTGGTCTGGTTCCACAATCCTATGAGAAGAAAGGGTGGGTGGTCTAAGCTAGATAAACCTTGGGAGGAACCCTATACTGTACTGGGAGTGGGACCCAGGACTAAATCCAAAGTTATCCATAGTTGCCATGACAGAAGGCGTCAGGGAGACAGAACATCAGCTTGGCTGCCCCAGAAAGTGAGAATGTAGCTGTGGAACCTGAGGCTGGAAGAGTTGTGACAGAGAAGAATTCCCCATTAGAACAAAATTAGCAGAGTCTGTCCCAGCCAGCAGACTCCACAGAAACACAGATGCTTGTCAGGAGCTAGCTGGAAGCAGCCCCTCCTGAGTGTCCGAAAGGAAATTGGGCAGGGTGAGAAAAGCTCCAAAGAGCTTTATATGGGAGTAGCATTGATTCAGGTCCCTGCTGTGAAAACCTCCTGACAGAAAGACAACATGTAAAGTGTTAAGATTGTATCATTTGTATATTTGTTAAATTGTTTCTTTTCCTTCTGTCTGGGATGGGTCATGCCAGACCTTGTAATTTCGGCTCCCATCGGGATGATAGGTGATGCTGAAGGCTTGTCTACACTTAAACCGCTGCTGTAGTGCTTCAGTGAAGACTCTACCTACACCGATGGGAGGGCTTCTCCCACTGGGACAGCTAATTCCTCTCCCCATGAGGGGGTAGCTAGGTGAATGGGAGAATTCTCCCATCGACCTAGTGCTGTCTACACCGGGGGTCTGGTTGGTTTAACTGCATCATTCAGGGGTGTAAAAAGAACAGGAGTACTTGTAGCACCTTAGAGACTAATACATTTATTTGAGCATAAGCTTTCGTAGGCTACAGCCCACTTCTTCAGATGCATAGAATGGAACATATATTGAGGAGATATATAGTGTGATAGACCCAGACCAGTTGGGAACAGCAGAGTAGCAGAAGGGAGATATACTGGCCACTGGATAAGCAGTTTTCTGTTCCCTGAGTGACCAGAGCAGGGGCTGCTCCAGGCTAAGACCACCTGACTCCAATTAACCTGCTAAGAGTCAGGTGAGGCAGTTAAGCACCTGACTCTAATTAAGGCCCCTCTGATGCTATAAAAGGGCTCACTCCAGTCAAGCCAGGGGGAGCCAGAGGAGAGGACGTGTGTGAGAGGAACTGGGAGCAAGAGGTGTGCAAGAAGCCGAGAGTGAGTAGGCATACTGCTGGAGGACTGAGAAGTACAAGCGTTATCAGACATCAGGAGGAAGGTCTGGTGGTGAGGACAAAGAAGGTGTTGGGAGGAGGCCCTGGGGAAGTAGCCCAGGGAGTTGTAGGTGTCATGCAACTGTACCAGGAGGCACTCTAAACAGCTGCAGTCCACAGGGCCCTGGGCTGGAACCCGGAGTAGAGGGCGGGCCCGGGTTCCCCCCAAACCTCCCAACTCCTGATCCAACACAGGAGGAATTGACCTGGACTATAGCTTCTACCAGAGGGGAAGGTCTCTGGACTGTTTCTTGACCCACAGGGTGAATCTGTGAAGCGAGCAAATCCACCAATAAGCGCAGGACCCACCAAGGTAGAGGAGGAACTTTGTCACAATATACCCATACAGAGAGCATGAACAGGTGGGAGTTGTCTTACCAACTCTGAGAGGCCAATTAAGTAAGAGGGAAAAAAAACTTTTGAAGTGATAATCAAGATAGCCCAGTACAGACAGTTTGATAAGAAGTGAGAGAGTACTTACATGGGGAGATAGATTCAATGTTTGTAATGGCTCAGCCATTCCCAGTCTCTATTTAAGCCTAAGCTGATTGTATCTAGTTTGCATATCAATTCCAGTTCAGCAGTTTCTCCTTGGAGTCTGTTTTTGAAGCTTTTCTGTTGCAAAATTGCCACCTGCAGGTCTGTCATTGAATGACCAGACAGGTTAAAGTGTTCTCCTATTGGTTTTTGAATGTTATGATTCCTGATGTCAGATTTGTGTCCATTAATTCTTTTGCGTAGAGACTGTCCGGTTTGGCCAATGTACATGGCAGAGGGGCATTGCTGGCACATGATGGCGTATATCACATTGGTAGATGTGCAGGTGAACGAGCCCCTGATGGTGTGGCTGATGTGATTAGGTCCTATGATGATGTCACTTGAATAGATATGTGGACAGAGTTGGCATCGGGCTTTGTTGCAAGGATAGGTTCCTGGGTCAGTGTTTTTGTTCAGTGATGTGTGGTTGCTGGTGAGTATTTGCTTCAGGTTGGGAGGCTGTCTGTAAGCGAGGACAGGTCTGTCTCCCAAGATCTGTGAGAGTGAGGGATCATCTTTCAGGATAGGTTGTAGATCTTTGATGATGCGCTGGAGAGGTTTTAGTTGGGGGCTGACGGTGACAGCTAGTGGTGTTCTGTTATTTTCTTTGTTGGGCCTGTCAGGGGTGTGGATTTTTCACACCTCTGAGCAACATAATTATACCAAGCTAATTTCCTAGTGCAGACCAGGCCTGAGATGGGGTGGTGTGCTGGAGGGCTACGGGGGCTGCCGGCATGTTTGATCTGTGGGCAATCATAGACATTGCTGAACCTGATTAACATACTAGCTACTTTTAATTCAGGCTAAATTGGAGAAGCAATTAAGCTCCTTTGTGGAGTAAGATAGCTGGAACAAAAGAATCACAGAATCATAGGACTGGAAGGGACCTCGAGAGGTCATCTAGTCTAATCCCCTTCACTCATGGCAGGACTCAGTATTATCTAGACCATCCAGGTCTAGGTGTTTGTCTAACCTGCTCTTAAAAATATCCAATGATGGAGATTCCACAACCTCCCTAGGCAATTTATTCCAGTGCTTAACCACCCTGACAGTCAGGAAGTTTTTCCTAATTTCCAACCTAAACCGCCCCTGCTGCAATTTAAGCCCATTGCTTCTTGTCCTATCCTCAGAGGTTAAGAACAATTCTCCCTTCTCCTTGTAAAACCTTTTATGTACTTGAAAGCCACCAGCCAAGGTGCTGGACCATGTAGGAAGGCCTGAACAAGAACTAGTTCAGGGAAAATAAGAGGGGTTTCCCTTGGACTGATTGAAAATACAGAGATTGGGCCATTGATTGGTGGAGCTGTGTGTGTCGTCAGGAGAAAACCAGAGAAACACTGTTAGCATGACCCTGAGAGGGAGCAGAGAAAGAGCTTCTTTTGAGCATAGTACTCTGGAGAAACAGGATTGGGTTTCTGGGCAAAGAAAGTGCCACTTATTGATTGTTCCTATTGTGTTCAGGGAAACATGACTTTCTGAGCAATCTTTGTAAATAAACAGGTTTGCACCAAAGAAATCCCTGACTTGTATAATCAATTTCTCCTCCTATGAAAAAAATTGGTTAAGAACCTGCTTGGGCCAAGGGGCAATGTTATAAATAAAAAACTGGGGAGTTAAAATCTTCCAGGAGGGTTGGAACCTGGGATTGTGACATGTATGGGTTGCTTCTGAAGTTCCACATCCTCTCCTTCAAATTGATTTGGTGTCCATCTACTAGTACCTGGGACTCCCCCTTGTCCAGTCTGCATAAAGTGTTTCTGCTTCTGTCACCTGTCTGAAGCTCATAGCTCCGTAGCACAACACTACCCCTGGAGTGGTCAGAGCAGTATCGATATTGGTCACTACTTCATTGTGAAAACAACCAGATCCTAGTTCTGTCCTTGCTCAAAATGATACAATTCCTCACCACTCCTCTGCAAAGGCCATAAGGCTGAAACTCCCTTTATCTTGCCCACATCCAACTTTACTCACCCAGATCCTCCTTGCACTGGCCAGCCTGGGTGAAAAAGCTTCTACTGACTTCATAGCCACCAAAGAAGAAGAAGTAGCCAGGCACCTCCCGTAGCCAAGTACTGGTCAGGCCCTGGAAAAATCCCAGCAGGCCCTCAGATTGAAAGATATTTTTCACAGTAGCCCAGGTAGAGCTGCAAGAGAGAACATAGGCAATGTACCCAAAAAAGGACCATCAGGGTCAGAATGAAAACAATCACACTCAGCATTACCTTTACCAACCCAGGATGATCAGTCAACCTAGAACCATGCCATATTACCCCAAATTCTCATTGAGAGTGAATGCCAGATTTGTTTTCCAGGCCAAACTGGGCACACTCCAGCATGTCCTGCTAGAGGCGGAATTTGAGGTGGAAGGAAGAAAGGAGCAGGGGGACTTGGTTTAAGCTCATGTATCTGAGTGGGCTCTGGCGTATCATCCACTGACCTCCCTTGCTCCCTATTCTGCAAATGTTCTCCACAAATTGTCCTTTGGAAACATGGGATTAATTTGGGACATAGGCACAAAAATGGGGGAGCTGGGTAGCCTGGCAACCACAGTAGAAATGATCTGCACTGTGCCATGGGAGAGATGTTGGCCGCCAGCTCAGCCACAATACAGTGGCCAGGAAGGAGAGGAGGATGTTTGGTTGTGACAGAGCAGGGGTCGGCAACCCTTCAGAAGTGTAAAAAGCAACAAAGAGTCCTCTGGCACCTTATAGATTAACAGATGTATTGGAGCATGAGCTTTCGTGGGTGAATACCCACTTTGTCAGATGCTACCCCTCTGATACTGGACTTTCAGAAGTGGTGTGCCGAGTCTTCATTTATTCACTCTAATTTAAGGTTTCGCGTGCCAGTCATACATTTTAACATTTTTAGAAGGTCTCTTTCTATAAGTCTATAATATATAACTAAACTATTGTTGTATGTAAAGTAAATAAGGTTTTTAAAATGTTTACAAAGCTTCATTTAAAATTAAACTGAGCCTTCTGGACCGGTGGCCAGGACCCGGGCAGTGTAAGAGCCATTGAAAATCAGCTCGCCTGCCGCCTTTGGCACATGTGCCATAGGTTGCCTACCCCTGTGATAGAGGAAGGCTTCAGGTATGCTGTGTCATGCAGACCCGCAGGCAGTCTGGCTGTGATGTACCTGTGACGTGCTAGTGCTGTTCGCCCGGTGACCTTCATCTCATGTAAGGCCTGCATGCGGCATTTCACCAGCTCCGCAGGGCACAGCACCATAGAGGAAAAGACGGAGGAGAACGAGCCGGCAAGCGCACTCTGCAGGTCGCTGGCACCATAGGGCGCGAGAACACAGATGTTAGAGCTGACGCTCACCCCCCACAGGCTCAGGCTCTGCAGAGGGCCGAGCAGAGGCCCTCATCACCACTACCCTAGAGGAGGAGCGTGACCTGCCTCCCCAATCCTGACTATCCCCTTGCTCAGGGACGTCCCCACAGCCTTCTCCTGGGCTGTCACAGATGGAAAACGTGGGTGACTCGGCTTCCCAAAATGGCATCACCCCGAATACTGCCCAAAGTGCCCCCAACCTGAGCCCCCCAGCGGGGCTTACAGCAGCCTTGCCATGCAGCCCCACCCCCTCTGGCGTCCCCATGCCGCACACCCGCAGGGCCAGGCCATACCTCAGCTCCAGCACACTGCTCAGTCCAAACAGCTGCCTCACCAGCTGCTGACAGAAGCCATAGCAAGCGAAGAGCACTGCGTTCTCTGCCACGTTAGCAAGCAGGGCTGGAGTGGTGCCCTGGTACAGCCCAGGCAGCCCTTGCTGCCGGTACGTCCGGACTGAGCAGTCAAAGAAACCCCGGTACATGGTGGGGAAGGTCTGCATCTTCACCTTGATTGTGTCAAAGGGCTGCCCGCTCACCACACATGCCACCCCGCCTGCAGAGAGACACCCACAGTCACCCCAGTGCCCCCCTTTGCCAGTAGATAAATCTCTGCATTAAGCATCTTCGCATAACTGTGTATCATTTTCATATGACTTTGTATTATGCCTCTTCATATAACCTTGTATTAAGTCTTTCCATCTATAACCTCTATTTTCATACAAATTTGTAGCAAGTCCTTTGATATAGGAACTTTGTATCAAATCCTTATATAGAAAATTTGTATTGAGCTTTGGTACACCTCTACCCCGATATAACGCTGTCCTCGGGAGACAAAAAAATCTTACTGCGTTATGGGTGAAACCGCATTATATCGAACTTGCTTTGATCCACCGGAGTGTGCAGCCCCGCCCCCCCGGAGCACTGCTTTACCGCGTTATATCCAAATTCGTGTTATATCGGGTTGCATTATATTGGGGAAGAGGTATATAATGTTATAGGCCCGAAGGATAGTTAAGGTAGAAGAAAAATGTCTTTTCACTAGGAGTAGAATAAGATCTTCTCCCCCCCCCTCCTTAATCAATTGCCCTGTTGAATGAATGAGGTGTGAATGAGTAAGGCATGGAAGGCAAGCACCTCCAGACAGCTGCAACAGTTGGAGGGGATAGAAGCCAACCCAAGAACAATAAAACTTGTCAAGTGGGCTCATTAAAGAAGATCAGACATATTGACAGCCCTGGGAGTTAGAAGGGAGCACCATCTTTTGAAAACACCCTCTTTGAAAATAAATGTGGCAGCATTAAGACAACACCCAGAAGGAAGCGCCACAGATGACCAACTGAGACAGACACAGATTTTGCATCTGGTATAGATTTGCATGAGAGGGAAGCTGCTATAAATGTGAGGTGTCTTGCAGAGGATCCCAGGTCTCATCTTGTCAACATCGGAGCATCGATCCGGATCAACAGAAGCCCAGCTCCACCCCTCCCCCATCTAACTCACCTGGCCAGTGCAGTTAAGGGGAGCAACTAGTTGGTAACAACAACAAGACGGAGTTTGTGTGTGAGTGTAATATCTCATATGCATATGATAGTGTGGATTGATATATGTACTACCAATAAATGTGGCGCTTTGCATTATCCCCCCTGAAAAGATCCTGTGCAGTATTTTAAGTACAACGTTTGCCCCTGCCCCAGGGGTAAAGCCTCAGAGCACCTCAGTGCCAGCACCTCACCCCCAGCCCCCAGGGCAAAGCCCCCAGGTACCTCAGTGTCAGTTCTTCACCCCACCCCTGACAGGGCAAAGCCCCCGGGTACCTCAGTGTCAGGTGCTGGGGGTTGTAAGTCTCCTCCTCCCACAGCTGAGGCCCAGGATTGCAGGGGTCCTCTGAGCTAGAATTCCTCCCTCTGATAAGTTTTAACTTGCTCCTGAACCGCGGTCCTGTCTTATTTCAGGGATTCAAGTCCAACTCCTGCTGCCTTCCAGGCCTCACCCCACTTCCTGTTGGGGCCCTATCCATGCATTTGGCTCGGGGCTCCCCTTCTCCCCAGCCGGGTATCTTGCCCTTCTGAAGAACCCAGATATGCTCCCAAATGATTCTACCTGCCAATGCCCTCCGCCCCTTGCAGAGGACGGGCCCCAGCTCCCAGACTCACCTGCTGCCCCTGCAGTGAGGTGAACCAGTGCCTGTACCAGTGGGTGGGACTTGGCTGCATCTGCAGACATCTCAGCAAACTGGACCACGCTGGACCCTAGAGCAGGAACCAGGCTGCAAATCAACCCGCTCCCAGCTCAGTGATGCAGGGAGCAGGGCAGGCAGCAGAGAGCACAAGCAACAGGCTTCAGAGGTCACCCTGCTGCAGAACCATATTGCTCGAGTTTTCTTTGTCCCCTTGGGAATCCAACAGCAACTCGGAGATACCTGGGTATTTGGGGTGGAGGCCTGGGTGTAGTCTTTAAAGAGGGATTTGAGTTAGGGGCATAGGGATTGGAAAGTTTGGGGGGGCTGTGAAGGAGGCTATTGTGGGTACTGGGAGAGTACAAGAGCTGTAGGGTATGGAGGCTATCGGGGAGGTTGTGGGGGACACAGGGACTGTGGGGATATGAGGGGGCTGGAGGGGGCACAGAGGTGGTGGGAGAGCATTGGGGAGGCTGTGGGACACAGGGGCTGTGGAGGGCATATGGACTGAGGCTACTAGGAAGGTTGGAGGGGGGCACAGGGCTGGTGGGAGGAGGCCTGGATGGGGGTGCAGGTCTGCCTCACTGATCTGGGTCTGAGTGGCATGGCACCTCAGCATTGTTGGCAGCACCTGAGTCCTGCCTCCACTGCAAGGAGTGGGTCAGGAAGTGGTATTGGGCAGAGAAGTAGCCAGGGGCCCTGGGCACAACTCGGGATTGCTGAGGGGTGCTGCACTTCCCTGCTGCAGCTTGGGGTGCTGGGGCAATGGGTGTGTGTAACGGGGTATCAAGGCAGATGGTGTGTGGGGGGGTATCGGGGCAGAGGAGGGTAGTGGGAACCTGTGTAAAAGGGCAGCAGGACAGAGGGAGAGTGTGCAGCATTGGAGCGGGGCATAGAGGGGTTGTGAGTGTGTGTATGGGGTGTAGTGGGGCAGAGGGGGGTAGTGTGTCTGAGTGTGGGGGGTGGTGTTGGGGCAGAGAGGGTGGGTAGCGGGAGCGTGTACAGGATGTAGTGGGGCAGAGGGTGGATATTGGGAGTGTATGAGATGTAGTGGGGCAGAGATTGGTAGCGGGACTGTATACGGGGTGTAGCGGGGCAGAGGGTGGGTAGCGGGAGTGTGTACGGGGTGTAGCGGGGCAGAGGGGGGTAGTGTGTCTGAGTGTGGGGGCTGGTGTTGAGGCAGAGGGTGGGTAGTGGGAGTGTGTACGGGATGTGGGGCAGAGGGTGGGTAGCGGGAGAGTGTATGGGGTGAGGAGGGGGATAGCATCTGAGTGCAGGGGGTATTGTGGTAGAGAGGTAGTGTGTTTGTGTGTGAAGATGGGGCAGTGGGCGTGTGGACAGATGGGGGTTGTGGGGGCAGGGGTATCAGGGTAGTGAAGAGGTATATAGTGGGGGATCCAGGCAGGAGCAGGGAGTGGGGATGTATTTAAAGGGTATCGGGGAAGTGCAGGGTTGTATAAAGAGGTAGCAGGACAATGGATGTGTGTGCGGGGGTGCATTGGGTAGAGTGGATAGTGGAGGTGTGGGTAAAGGGGTGTCAGGACAGTAGGGGGTATGGCAGGTATTGGCAGTCAGATGCATGTAAAAGGCTATCAGGGTACTGGAGAGATGTGTGGTGGCTGGCTCCTTGGATACCTTTGAGGAGCAGTGGGCACTGTCCAGGGTTCTCTGCTCAGTGTCCTCTTCAGGTTCCCTAGTTTTGGCCCTTTGACCCTCACGCTTGTTCCTGTTTTTTTCCTTTGTTGTCTCCCAAATTTAGTTGAGTTCTGGGCTCAGTAGCTCCTCCCCAGGCTGGGGAAGGGGCTTTTAGTTGTGGGCGGGTTTACGCCGCCTGCTTCCCAGCACCCAATAAGATACTCAGCAGAGATCAGTAAGTACAGGGCTCAAGGGAGAGACGTGTCCCTGAGGAGAAAAGGGGGGTCTGCACTAATCCTTCTAATACCTGCCCACATATGGTGAAATGGATACATTAAATCAGTGGGTGCATTCTCCCTGTCGGAGACTCACAGAGCTTTCCCTTCTCTCCCCAAGGTCTGGCCTGCACTTCACCGTGGGCTGCAGTGGGGGAGGTGTTTTTTTCTTAATGTCCCCATCCTTCCTCCTTCCCCCACAAAAAGTTCCAGGTATACTAACCCCTGAGAAGCAGGTTTGGGAACAGGGTGTGGGAATCTCGTGTATCTGTCACATTTCAAAGCTAGCAAGTTCAAAGCCCGTTAATGACAAGAGTCTTTAACATTCTTTATCAATTTGGTTTTAGATGAATTCCTACTGTGTTTTTAAAGCAAGAGGTACAACATCATGGGCCTTCAAATATCATTATTTTGTAATACTTGTGCTAAGAGTCCTTTGGCTCTATATATGTAAAAGGCCAAGTGAGAACCATATTTTCATGAGCACCTGGAATCTCTATAAAAACAGCAGAACTCAAAAAGGGAAAGCAGTTTAAATAGACAAATCAAACAACTGAGGCTAAGAAGATCCCATCCTATTTCAGAACCATGACTTCTAGGAGGAAAGAAGTTTAATGTGGCAGTTTGTGTAGATTCAACATCTTTACATGGTTGAACTATTCATTTCTAAATACAGACTGTTCTTTCCCTGGCCAGCTCTACCTCTCTTCATATCTAGTAGGTCTGGCAGAGGCCTTTAAAAGTCTTACAAGGTATTTGTACTGCACGCTATCAATCAAGTTGTTCAAATAAGTCCTTTTTCTCTCCGTAGAGCAGATGTATAAGGATGGTGGAAGCAGCTTCCTCAATGCTCGTTGGAGGGACTTGACATTCCTAAACAGGTAACTACTATTGGTTGGAGTGGATCAGTCTCTACCTGTCCCAGCAGCCAGATCCCTCCCAAAATATGGCACTAAGTTCCAGCTAGGAGGTTGTGCAAATGAGAGAGGCAGGACAGGACCAACTGTGAGGTGTCCTTCAGCAGACACGTTTACAGGGCACAAGCATTGCTGTTCAGGCTGATAGCTGCCATTAAGTAACTTGAGCCCACTAAGTATATGCTCTTGATGGTCAGTCAGAAAATAACCCAACAAACCCAAAAGCCCAGTAACAAAGAACCCTAGAACATCCATAACCCCCAACTCAGCCTGTAGAAGACCAGCTACAATTAAAATCACAGCTAATGTAAAAGCAAAAAAATACACATGCAAAGCCCCCTGACTGATGGAACTTACAGTGCCTTCTGTAGTAAGATGAGGCCCTGAAACATAAACCCTTATATCAGAGGCCCGGTATGAGGCCTAAGGCCTGAACTAAAGTAATGGTAAAGACTTTGCTAATATAAAGCAAAGTTAAGTTGTGAGCAAAAGGCAGGCCCTGCTCACAGAAGCTGGCAAGAAGAGGGCTGATGTTGCAAAAATACACATATCTAAAAGGTACCAGAACACTCCAATACTTGCACATTCCACACAGATAACAAGGACAGGGACAAAAGGGGAATATGATGGATAGAGTTGTTTTGTTTGAACCAACATGTACAAGGTGAGGGGTTGCACCTCAATACGTCAGGAGTGAGGTGTAACTTGTTTGTACCTGTGTATAAGAATGCACCCCTGGGGAGTTGTCTTGGTCTGGACTAGGGGGCAGTGGTAAATCCCGCCACTGACTGAGCTGTGTCCATTATCAGGGAGCACATATGTACTAGCAGAACTGTAGACATCTGATCCGGGGAGCTAGAGACTGTGTTTCGTTTGGCAATAAACCTGGCCAGGTGCCTTCGTACCTTATCGGAGTCTCTGGTCATTGGGTGGTTTGCTCAAGATCTGCTGTGCCAGCTATCTGCGCAGAGCTGGGACAGCACACAGGGAGAACACCCAGCCGACTGTTACCAACATTGGATAGAGCAGAGCACCACACTGGTGACGTCTGACAACACCTTCAGCTGAGCAGAGCTGCAGGGCTATAGAGAGTTAACGACAAGGGTGCAAGCAGCCAGCTGTGTTACAGCTGCTGTCATTCCAGTGTACAGTGAGTGGTGTCTCAATGACCAAGGCTCACTGGGTGAGTATTGGGAGGACTCTGATAATTTCAGTCCATGCCCAAGATGAAATGGGAGTGATAACCAGACAGCGTGCAGTGAATGAGTAGCCATGGTCATAGAATCATAGAATATCAGGGTTGGAAGGGACCTCAGGAGGTCATCTAGTCCAATCCCCTGCTCAAAGCAGGACCAATTCTCAACTAAATCATCCCAGCCAGGGCTTTGTCAAGCTGGGCCTTAAAAACCTCCAAGGAAGGAGACTCCACCACCTCCCTAGGTAACGCATTCCAGTGCTTCACCACCCTCCTAGTGAAATAGTGTTTCCTAATATCCAACCTAGACCTCCCCCACTGCAACTTGAGACCATTGCTCCTTGTTCTGGTCATAGAAACACTGATGTGAAGAAGTCATGACAGGATAGAGACCCCGGAGCCAATACAGAGGCAGAACAATCAGTCCTGTCTGCCTCCTCTGAGTAATCATTCCAGGGAAAGAAAGCTCCATTGATGGAAAAGTAAGGGAAGTACAGAACTAGGAGTAATGAACATGGAGACTAAATTCTCTTATCTTCCCAGAACAGCTTCACAGTACAGTTGGGAACTTCTGTGGGGAGCAGTGTGGGTTGAAAGCCAGAACTGAATGAGCATGAATGCAGATATCAATGAATGCAAGTAAATCACACAAAGGGAACCAGAGATTAGAATATTGCAGGGCTCGCACAATCTGTTTCCCATTAATGATTGGAAAGTTTCCCAGGTGAATGGGGGACTAAAATTAATTGGTTTAGGCAGGAGTTCACTTTGAGGCACCCGGCTTCAGGAACCATCTCTGCACTGGCCTCTAGGGCAGTAGTTGCCATGGAGTGGACCATACCTCAATGTGCAAATTGTTTTATGGACATCTGCTCTCCCAGTCATTATTGCAGACCCATCTCCCCTCCCTCTAGTGATGCAATATTATCCCTGAGGATAACTGCTGACATGGAAGAGTGATATTAGGACAGTATTTAATGTGTTTTAGATTCTTTTAATGTGATTTGACATCTAGAGAAAAGGAG